ATATTATAATATTTATATAATATTAAAGAGATAATAAATTATAATTAATTTGTTATAATAAGTAAATTTAAATCATTTATCTTCTAAATGACCGAAATTCGTTTAATGCTTTAACTCTCTTTTCTTCTTCTAACCATTAATAATTTAAAATACGTTGTTTCTCTTTTCTCTCTTCTAAAATTTTCACTTTCTTAATCAATGTTTCAATGAAACTCTGTATCTATTATTTCAGAGATGCTTATAATTTTTAAGAATTATTATGACTGATCTTTCTTTCATACTCTATATTGTTAGGTTTCAAAGAAAATTCATATTCTTCAAAGTTCTCTCTTTTTTTTTTCTTTTTTTTTTTTTAATGTCTTACTTGCCTATAACCAAGATTATGTTTTGAGTTACATTTTGTATTTAAGCTCTTCTTTTTTTTACTTTTTCTATTTATGTATTATTTATGTATATCAACCAATACACTAAATTTTGACTAATACAGTTAGTATTTGACCTAGCGCATTATTTAAAGTATAATACATTGATTTTATGTCTAAACCAAGGTATTAGTTTTATCAACCGGTACGATATAGGATTAACAATCTTGTATAGTTATTGTCATTATAAAAATTATTAAGTCTACTAAAATTTTAGTTTTTTGTAAATATTATCTAGAAATATTAATTTGTTAACTAATTTAAATTTATTAACTAATAAATATTAATTATTATTTTAATTATTAATTATTAATTATTTTTTAATTAAATAAAATAAATAAATAAAAATAGTATTTCTCAATTTTAATTACCATAATAATTTTTTAATACATAAAAGTTAAATGTTAAATTCTGAACTTATAATTAAAAACATGCGTACAATAGCACAATTTTAGTGGGCATAATCTTGTCCTGTAGGCATTGTATTAATGAGTCAGGTTTCACCTCATTTCTTTTTATTTTTGAACAATTTTGCATAGGGCCAAATTTGAATAGTTGTCCGAAAAAAAGTGGAATGCATTTAAACGTGATTTGTCGTGATTTGTCGTTGTTGGACCAAAAAGCTCAAATGCAGATTTCACCTCATATTTTTGTGGTTTCCATGGAGAGTTCTTTATATTTGATATTAGTGCATGGCGTTGTGATTTTCTATTATGTTATTTAAAATACAATATCTTTGACGAGTAATACATGTACATGTTTTTAATTATTAATGGAATGG